GGTACATCCTGCCTGGCCTGCTGCACAGGAGGAGAGGCAGTCAGATTTCACGCACCTCATCATTCACTAATGTCAAACTGACTTTTACACTGGATGATCTCCTGTTCAATACTTGGGGGATAGCAGTCAACTCATATTCCATCAGAGAGCAAATCTCTTTGCTGTTATATGCTGCTCGGAACACCATAGCACTGAACTGGAAATCTCCAAACCCTCCTACACTCGCGCAATGGCATCAAAAGATATGGAATCTGTATGTCATGGCAAAAATCAGACAATATAGCACGTTTTTCTCAGCCTTCTACGCATTCCACCTTCCCTACAATCTGGTTACCAGTACTTGAATATCTCACATCTCAAGGTGAAATTCCACAACTGGTTGTTGATTTGGAGCCTAGATATACTTTAAAGGGAAATATGTTTTTTTGAATTTATGTATTATATACTAGTTGATTCTTATAAGGGTTATGCATAGCTTTCACTGAAACTAAGTCTATTTCTGTGTAAACATTTTGCATTTTACTGTCTGTAATCCTTAAGATACATATGTATTGTATGCATTGTACTTTGCTTAAAAACCAATAAAAATGTTAATGAGAAAGAAGAGATTGGATTTATACCCCGCCCTTCACTACCCAAAGGGAGTCTCAGAGCAGTTTACAAACTCCTTCCCCTCCCCACAACAGGCACCCTGTGAGGTTGGTGGGGCTGAGAGAGCTCTGGCAGAAACGGCTCTTTTTCAAGGACTGCTTGTGAGAGAACTATGGCTTGCCCAAGGTCACACCAGCTGGCTGCCTGTGGAGGAGTGCGGAATCAAACCCGGCTCTCGCACTTAACCACCACACCAAACGCTCTGGGGGAGTCAGTCTCCCGCCCCCGAATCGAACCCGGTTCTCCCAGATTAGAGTCTGGGCACTGAACCACGACACCAAACTGGCTCCTCCCCCTCCCCCTCCCCACAATAGGCACCCTGTGAGGCAGGTGGGGCTGAGAGAGCTCTTTCAAGGGCTGCTAGTCCTGAGAGAACACCTCTGAGAGAACTTGTGACTGACCCAAGGTCACACCAGCTGGCTGCCTGTGGAGGAGTGGGGAATCAAACCCGGCTCTCGCACTTAACCACCACACCAAACGCTCTGGGGGAGTCAGTCTCCCGCCCCCGGAGCAAATGTTCTCGCGGCGGGGGGAGCGGCAAGGCTTGGGGGGGAGGGGGGGCTCCGAAGAAGAGAGGGGCGGGCCCGCTGGATCCCATCCGCCCCCCGCACCGCTCCGCTGCCTCTGGGAGGGGAGGC